GGAGAGGTTTCCACACCCTTATGAGGGATGCTTTGTTCCCCTCTCCAACCAATGTGGGATCTTACAATCTACACCCCTTGGGGTCCCAACGTCCTCACTGACACACTGCTCGGTGTCTGCCTTTGATACCATTTGTAACAGCCAAAGCCCACTGCAAATAGATATTGTTTTCTTTGGCCTTTCCCTTCTGTGCTTCCCCTCAAGGTTTTAAAACGCGTCGACTAGGGAAAGGTTTTCACACCCTTATAAGAAATGTTTCGTTTTTCTCTCCACCCGATGTGGGATCTCACAATCCACCCCCCTTGGGGGCCCGCGTCCTCGTTGGCACACTGCTCGGTGTCTGCCTCTAATACCATTTGTAACAGCCGAAGCCCACCGCTAGCAAATATTGTTCTCTTTAGGCTTTCCCTTCTGGGCTTCCCCTCAAGGTTTTAAATGTGTCTATTAGGGAGAGATTTCCACACCCTCATAAGAAATGTTTCATTCCCCTCTCCAACCGACGTGGGATCTCACAATCAATAATAAATGTATTTCTTTTGAATAGAATACCAATGATTGGGAGGGAGTGTAAGAGCTTATCAAGGAAAAGTAGTTAGATAGGTAGTCGGTTTTGATCCATTGTTACTACTTCAAGTGTGTGCTTAAGAGAATTTCGTTATGCATAGATCGAGGTCTTTTTGCTTCTGGTTATACTCTTTTGTGGAGAGAACGGGACTCCCGAACTCCTAGTTAGTGTAAGTGCCCTTATTGACCTCACTACTTTGAATCACATCATAAAATATTTGTTCATAGATTTAAGTATGAAAGCTTGTTAACCATATTATAGCTCTATGCCTTTCATTTTAATCTCTAATCAAAGTTGTTATCTATTATTACATTTTTCTCATGGAAATGTGCATTTGTCAAATTTTTCAACCACCTGGTTGGTGCAGGTCATAGCAGAAAGACTGTCTGAAGAGGAAATTGGTGGCTTGAAGGAATTGTTTAAAATGATCGACACTGATAACAGCGGCTCAATAACATTTGAAGAGCTTAAAGAGGGGTTGAAAAAAGTGGGCTCTGAACTCATGGAATCTGATATCAAGTCTCTTATGGAGGCGGTAGATACTCATTGTTTTCCTACCTCATACCACATTATGCCAAATCATTGTTTGGTTGTTCATATAAACATTTAAATAGGGGCGTTCGACGATGGAGGCTGATTTAACGATAATTAAAACTTAACATAACCATATACTTTCTACAATGATCTCTACAGATTCTAATTGTTAACCTGTATTTTGTTGCTGCCTCATCTCTGGACAGGCTGATATAGACAACAGTGGAACCTTAGACTATGGTGAATTCCTTGCAGCTACATTGCACCTAAATAAGATCGAGCGAGAGGATAATTTAGTCGCGGCCTTCTCCTATTTTGACAAAGATGGCAGTGGTTATATCACCACTGATGAGCTTCAACAGGCTTGCAAGGACTTCGGTTTGGGTGATGTCCATTTGGATGAGATAATCAATGAAATTGATCAAGATAATGTAAGTCTTCATTTATTAACTAAATATTTCCTTATTATTATACTAGCAAGTTTGATTCCCTAAGTTTTTCTTTATTCATCACTACCTTCATGTTCTTGGTTTATTCAACTGCTTTTTCTGCTTACCATAATCCATAATTTCAACCGATTTAGACCAACACTGTTACTACTTCTTTTGTCACTCATTTTAATTCCGTTGTGGTACATTTCTGGCTTTAGAGGTGTCTGCAATTTATTTATTGCATATACAGATAACGTGTGCTCCCTACTCGGAAAGTTATATACTAATTAACTTGTTGTGTTGCCTTTTTTATTGTCATGTAACGTTGTTTTCAATCTTTCTGTCAACCTTACTTTCAAACTCTCTTTCAAAAATCTCTCTGCCCTCGTTTTCTAAAACTTTCTCAAAATGGGGCCAGAAGCTTGAGCATACGTTGCCCGGCCGTAGGTAAGGCGATGTGAACCTAAGTTGGCTTGACTTAATCAGTATTCGGAGTGAGTGCCGCACAATTACAAAAGTCTCCTGCCAAGAAAAGTGCGATTGTGAAAGTTGGTGTCTTGAAAATTGTACTTATTTTCTCACTTTTTTTTACCTCGAGTGTTCATCTTTTTCAATATAACATTTGCTCCGTACTCGGAAAGTTATATACTGTTTAAACTGTTGTGTTTCCTTTTTGCTTGGAGTCATATAACCCTATTTTCAATCTTTCTTTCAACCTTGCTTTCAAACTCTCTTTCAAAAGTTCTATGCCACTATTTTCTAAAACCTTCCTCTCAAAATGGGGCTAGAGGCTTGAGCATATGTTGCTCGGCCATAGGCGATGTGAACCCAAGTTGGCTTGACTCACTCAGTGTTGGGAGTGAGTGCCGCACAATCGCAAAAGTCCACTAACAAGAAAAGTGCGATTGTGACGGTTGGTATTTTTTGTATCATGGGTTTTCATCCTTCTCAAGATTACATTTGAATTCTTAGCCACGTTCCGAAAACACAAACAAGTTTTTAAAAAACTGCTGTTTTGTTCTTAGTTTTTAAACTCATATATAGACGTAGTGTTTATAAGCTTAATTCTTAAAAACAAAAAACCCGGGTTTCTTTGGGTTAGATAATAAAGCCTTCTTGGGATTAGTGACGGTGGACCATTAGCCTAATGCCAGGGTCTGCATATATCTTCCTATATATTTCTAGAATAAGGATTCTGTGCTGATAGTAGATCTGTTTCTTCATCTATACATGAATCAAATTGCTTGTTTCATCATATATCAGGAACGATGGATAAAGAAATCCATTTGTTTTCATTTCTAGAACAATGTCTATCTGTTCTTCCAAAAGTACTGCAAAAAACATTCTCGAACCCGAACTGCTGTTATATTCTCTATCTTTTCCTTTGCAGGATGGTCGTATCGACTATGAGGAGTTTGCTGCAATGATGAGGAAGGGCGACGGGGGCGTCGGGAGAAGTAGAACTATGAGAAACAACTTGAACTTCAATTTGGCCGACGCGTTTGGAATAAAAGACAAATCGTTAGCAAACTGACAGGGGGATGATGCTGCTGCCTAGGTTATGTAATTTGTATAGTTGGCTAACTGTCCAAGTGCAGAAAATACATCCCATAGCTTCATGATGATGAGCTTTTGATTTTGATTTTGATTCTTGCTTTAAATTATGCCTTATCTATTCTTTAAGTTCTTTAATGAGAGGACTTTGAATTTTCCTGACATTGCTTGTGGATTTCTAGTATGTTTGTTGATTATTGAGTTAAATGAGGCCGAAGAAGTCGTGCCGAAAAAGCTCGTTTTGATTTTAGAAAACTGCAAGATGAGTTCAGTTCTTATAGGAAAGCGATGTGTAAGCTGGCATCTTGCGTTGCTTCTTAAGTTTCCTGTTAGTAGACATTGTTCGGGTTTTCCCTTTTGGGCTTTCCCTTAAAAGTTTTTAAAACATGTCTGCTAGAGAGAGGTTTTTACACCCTTATTGTCAACTTCTCCCTACTGCAAGTCGTTGTTGTCGTCTTTTTTCTTATATCACATATAATATCAATTTCAATCTCTCAAATCTTGCTTTCAAAACTCCTTTTCGAAATCTCTCTGCCTTCATTTTTTAAAACCTTCTTCTTGAACCGGAGTTAGAGGCTTGAGCATACGTCGCTTGGTCGTAGAATGAATTGGCTTAACTCACTTGTTGCTAGGAAATGAGTGCTGCATAAAAAATGTTTCGTTCTCCTCCCAAACTGACGTGAGATCTCATAATTCACCCCCTTTTGGGGCCCAGTGTCTTTGTTGACACTCTTTTTCAATTGATAGGCACCTTAAGTTTAGTCAAGGAGTTGGCTGTCGTAAAAATTGATAGGCACCTTAAGTTTAGTCAAGGAGTTGGTTGTCGTAAATTAAGGTCGTTTGTGATGATTTTGCAGTTTAGGGTTTTTTTATATCTCCACGTGCCTTTCCATGAACCTATTAGGCGAGCTTGTATACGTATCTCACAGGCTTGATTATTGACTAACGCATGCTCATGCAGCTGAAAACTTACGAAAAAGAAATGAGTGTATAATACCATGGTGTAAGCTTATGTGCGTAATATAATGGAGAAGTAATTCATGCTTGTGTACGTAACATAATGATGCACACAGAACTTCCATACTTATCATGACATATTTGTGGTATTCCATACATGTGCATCATATATGGTATGTCATAGTAACTCACAAGACTCATAGGGCATAAACGTAATCATAACAATAGAATAATAGGATCAACAATTCACAAGAATATTATAACATCAAATAATATCACATAGAGGGCTACAATTACGAGATATTGATGCTTCATTTAATTCATCCAACCTAACCCATAGGTGTACCAACCGTAAGTCAACTTACTTAGCCTAAACGGATGTCATGCATATGAAATTGATATCTCATAACTATAGTCCTCTACGCTTGTGTGATCGAAGTGAGAAATGAACCAAAGTATTTATGACTCCAAAAGATTCATGAACCATAGTGTATGATCGTGCATATGAAATTGATATCACTTACAAATGAAAGTGATACTTACCCAATAAGGCCTAGGAAGTACGAAAGTGATGTGAGCCAGGTGAGTTTTGTGTCTACAAAAGTGTTGCACCAAACTATGTAAATGAATTTATACACATCCCGAGCATAAAAAAAGAATTGGAGTCTAAGACCATGGTTTTAGGTCCCACTCGAAATGAACAACAAGAGCTATGCCTGCATAAGTTTGCATTTTTCGGTCCCAATAGTGGGATCACTTATATTTACAATACTTAACCTTTTACGAACCTCGTTTTTTCAAGTAAGAGCAAGTTCGATCTAAGGGACCACAGGCAATGAATTCCATTTTTTTTTTAAAATGGACACACCCAACCAAACTACGAGGGTAAAAATGTAATTCGCAGCATAAAAAAGAGGTTGGGGGGTATAATAGTCTTTTAGAACTAGAAAAGAGGATAGGATAAGCCTGAAGTTCAAAACAGCCGAGCCATGGCGAAAACAAGAACGAACCATAGCTACTAGACAAAGAGGACCTTGAAGAGGTCTCTATAATGGCGTCTCTAATGCTTTCCCTCTGCACCAATTTCGCCACTCACTGCCGTGTCTCCACCAAGCAGAATACACCATTATCAACACCAATTTCATCTTCATTCAAACTCTCTCCTTCTTCCCGCCCTGCATTGTCCTTCGTCCTCAAGTCCTCGGAGTCCGAAGCCGCTGTAATCATCTCTGAGCCTGCCCCTTCCCAAATCGTTGAAGTCCCCTCGGAACAGGCCCCCAAGCGCGAGGAAATCTTCGCGGTTGTTATGGTTAGTGTTTAATTTCGCTTTCTTGCGTTTTTTGATTTCGGCTCCTCTTTTTCTGTTCAAGCTACTACAATCGATTTTTGTACTGGGACTCACGTTCATAATATGGCCTGTGTCTGTGGATTTTTTCAATAGATTGGATCCCGCCAATATATAGTATTTCCAGGGCGTTATATCCATACACAGAGGCTGAAAGGAGCTAACGTCAATGATAAGGTAGGTATCCTTAATAGTCTACTCGTTAAATTGTTATTTGTGTATCTGAATTGAGTGTTAGATTATATTACATTTATGGAGATTAGAGTGTTCATGCATTGTTTGGATTCTGCTGAACAATGACCTTCATGTTGTTTAATCTATGTATTATATATTGATATTCCTTCATGTGAAGTTCTCTCGGAGTGACTTTGAAGGAATTTTGTGGAAATGTATATTGCAATCTCCTTCTGAATAGTTACCCAAGTAAGAAAGTGATTTCTGGAATTAATTGCGTGACTTTTGATATTATTTGGGTAATCATTACCTAAGCTTTCTTTTGTTAGTGAAAATTGGTTTCAGCATGTGTCAAATATAATGTGGTGTTCATATTTAGCGTGCTTAAATTAGTTAGTCTGAACAAAGACTTGTTATGAAACATTTGACTTATTCATGTGGGGTTTGAGTTACGGATGCCTTGACTAACTGCATAGAAGAACCATAACAACCCACACTATACTGCTAGCAAATGTTGTTCTATTTGGACTTTTCCTTTTAGGTTTTCCCTCATAGTTTTTAAAACGCGTCTGCTAGGGATAGGTTTCCACACTCTTATAAAGGGTGTTTCGTTCTCCTACCCAACCGACGTGGGATCTCACAAAAACCATTTTTACTTTTAATTGTTAGTATTATGATGATAGGTTTTGAACTTGAGATTTGAAGGTGTACTTCATACTGTTTTGTGAATGGTGTTGCTGCATGGCACCATGGCATGCTACCTGTCGGACATCAAGGGGAAAAAGTTTGAGATGGTAAGAGAATTGATTAGACCAAGAGAATGTTGTTGGGTTTGGTAGAAATGTCTGGATAATTTAGAAAAGTTATTCCTGAGGAGTGGTGCTAGAGCTTGATCTTGGGTAGTGGAATGGCCCAAACCCATTGCTAGCAAATATTATCCTCTTTGGGCTTTCCCTTTTGGGCTTTTTAAAATGCATATGCTAGGGAGAGGTTTCCACACCTTTATAAAACATGATTCATTCTCCTCCCCAACTGATGTGGGATCTCATAGTTTGTGTCCTAGGTCATTGACAGCTTGACAGGAGCTTCGTCATAGCCTAAATTTTTTCCCCTTAGAAGTAAATATATCCTAGTGTGATTGTGTTACAGACTTCATCAAATAATCGGTGATATTTTTTCAGATTTCTTTGGATGACCTCTTTATGACGAATTGACCATGAATCTCAAGACTTGACTGTTAATTCTTCTCTTGTTACAAAGAGTTTGTATTTTCCCTAACTCTAGCTATTTTTGCTCTTCATTCATGGATTCTCAAGTCATTTGACCTTTCCTTGTAAGTTTAGTTTTCTCATTAGTTGATCTTTTTCAATCCTCTAGTCCTCATTTCTTCGCTGAGGCTAAAATCTCAGAGAAGCTTTGGTTTTTGTCATCGTGGATCGTTTTCGGAAGGATAAATAACATGGACCCGGTCCAAAGATGTTAGTGTATGGGTTCGAGACCTACAAGTTTAGCTTATACAATAAGGTAGCTTAAGACTTGGATCGTGTACTAAGAAGGTGTCACTTTACTGTAAAAGTTTGGAATAGATTTATTGAAATCTAGAAGCACTCTCATATGTAGAAATAAGCATACTGGGTAGTTACTAAAAGAACTGCAAAGAGAGTTCCAATGTAAAATTGAAGAAACCACCCTATCCCAAAAACTAAAAAAATCCTCTTGTTGCATAAAATGTACAAATTGAGAAATAAGTAATTTCTTTAATGTGACCTTTTTATGATCAAAGGAAGAACTTGAGTTTCTTCTTATTTAACTTTGTGAGAGATTCTCTATTCTTTTTCATCACGGAATTTACTGCCGATCATCTTCTAGAGAAAAGTATGAAGTCTAGCTTCCAACTTCCATCTTCACTTTCTGAATGAACACCTTCTATGTTTTCTTTCTGGTGATCTCTCCTGAATTTCATTGTTGAGAGCTTTTCAATACAATGGATCGAAGGAAGAAACTGACTTTAGAAATGTGAGACATTGTAACATCCCAAGCCCACTGCTAATAGATATTGTCCACTTTGGTCCGTCACGTATCACCGTCAGCCTCACAGTTTTTAAATCGTGTTTTCTAGGGAGAGGTTTCCACACCTTTATAAGGAATGTTTCGTTCTCCTCTCCCACCAATGTGGGATCTCACAATCCACCTCCTTTGAAGTCTAGCGTCCTCACTGTCACACTGCCCGATGTCTGGCTCTGATACCATTTGTAACTGCTAAAGCCCACCAATAGCAAATATTGTCCACTTTGGTCCGTTGCGTACCACCGTCAGCCTCACGGTTTTTAAAACACATCTTCTAGGGATAGATTTATACAACTTTATAAATAATACTTTGTTCCCTTCTCCGACCAATGTGGGATCTCACAGTGATGATCATTGATCAAAATTAATGTGGTGCGCTTATATTTACCTTTGTGAATATTGATTTAGTTTATAGTTTTAAGATTCCTCATCGAGTAGCTCGGTGAATTTCATCATATTCTACAAACTAACAAACATCAAGTTTATTACATAATAACAAACCGGTCATGTCTCATCTATACATGTGCAATTAATTATGTGATACTGTAACAATCTTAAAGTTCTCTAAATTTCTTATTGTTCAGATAACTCTGAACAAAGTTTTGCTTGTGGGAACAAAGACTCAGGCATACATTGGAAAACCAATAGTGACAAATGCTGCTGTTCATGCCGTTGTCGAGGAGCAGGTAATGCATTAACTTGGTGATCATCCCCTCTTCATCAGAATGAAATAGAACAATGCTTCTTTTTCTTAGATTGTCTTGTTTTTATTTCTTATATTCAGGGATTAGATAAGAAGGTTATTGTGTTCAAGTACAAGAAAAAGAAAAACTATCGACGAAACATTGGACACCGTCAGGTATTTCTCGGTCTTTGCCACTCTCTTTCTCTCTTCAATCTTGCAGCATGTTCTTGGGGTTTGCCTTCACATGTCATTCAACTGCTTCCATAGCTTTTGTAAACTTCTGGAACTTATTCACAGACCATAGGAATGTTTGATGTGCATGAGTTAAGAAATTTCTTTTGAGTACACATTTCTCTATAGAATTTCTGAATCTGTTTTACCCGAACGATACAGCCAAATACGCGGATTAGGATAACGGAAATCAGTGGATATCAAGATTATCCAGCAGCCACACTCGAGTCGTAGAAACAAATTCTGATGATCAGCAGGTTTGAAGATCTTAAATCCTTATTTCTTGCTCAAAATCCCCACTTTTCTGTATGTAAGTTCTTGTGAATCCAAATGTTTCAACTCAATTGTTTCCATCTGTTAACGAATCTCATATAATCGTTAGTGACCATTCTGTCCATTTTTCAAGGAATTTTATTGCTCATATGGAGTCTTAGAAACTTTCTAACTTGTAGCTTAATATGAGGGGATGTGCAAGTATATGATTAAACAAAAAAGTATTGCTCGAAATGAAAAGTCCACAATACCCCTAACAACATATATTGATACACTTCCCTATGGATGCATCACTGATATAACTATCATTGATGCGTTTTATATCGAGTAAATGAATGACATTCGTTCATTATTGATATGATACACTGCACTTTACTATTGATGCATAGTTAATCTACCTATCATTTGTATGCTACTATCATTAATATACTTTATACCGAGTAATATCAATAACATAAACATATCATCGGTATGGCATACTATCAATACACTAATATTATACTTGAAATTGATTATGAATAAGAGTTGATACACTAATAATATTGTTATATTTAAAATTTCGTTTTGAACTAATGTTGATACATTGTGGATATAGATATAGTGATTGTAGCTTCCGTTCATAGTTGAATTTCAAGATTGAACATTGAATATACTTGACAAGTTGACGGTGTGTGGTCGAACATTGATGCATGGTTTGGTTGAGATTAAAAATATACTTTAAGGCTTATACATATAAAATTCGTACATTCAACCTAAATTAGATATTCGAATCTCTACTTCGCATATTTTATCTAATATTGAATAATGTTATACACAGGTACATAAATTGACAGTTCTAAAATTAAAGATGGAACGATGGCAAGCATGATTTTGAAAATGATTCGTCTAGTAGCCATAAATTCTTACCAGTTTTTCGTTTTTAGAAGTTTACAACTATTTCATTGCTTACAAATCAGACAATGATATTCCACTTTTTTTACCTTTGAATTCACAAGAATCTTAACAGCAAATTCAATAGTGTTAGTACTTTTATTTTTTATTTTTAGAAATTGAGAGTGCATATATGAAAGGTTTATTTCAAGAATAAGTTAGATTTACATAAAGGTGCATGATCCCAATTGGAATGGATGTGATTGAGTTAGAATTTTTTCCACATCATTTTGACGACAAAACTATTTCAAAATATATTTAAATAAGTTTAAAATTCAAAGAATTTTCTTTTATCAATAGACATATAATTAAAATTAACCTCAAAATTCGACTTCGAGGACTCGAACATATCAATTAATCTCGAAAAATATTTACAAAAATAAAGATTAAAAACCCACCACAAAATGTTCTTGTTCTTCCTTTCACATCACAATCTGCAGCCCACACCAATCATTGTAATCTTCTTTTGAGTCTAATTTTAGTATATCAACCTGTAATACATAACCAATATGATAATTGGGATATGTAAAGATCTATATAAAAAAGGAAGTATAGTTAGTTTTCAGTTTGTAACCTGACTAATCCCTGTATGCTTTTTCAGTATATAATGCAACAAAAACTATAGTATATATAATAAATATAGCCTATATTGAGTGTAATCAGTGAGCTCCTAATGTGAATAAAAATATCTTCACCTATTTTTTCCTTTTAAACCCTCCAAACAACTGCCGATTCATCTACCGAACGACGTATAATTTGAGCTATATAACAGCTTGATGGTCGCCACGGTATCACCACAACGAGCATCGTCGATCAGAGCACTTGAAATCAATATCAATCTGTACAAACAATGAAAACAAGAGGGAGTTGGTATATAAGATGAAGAAACTAAGCAATGGAGAATATTTGACAGAATGTGACTCGAAAAGCCAAATACGACCAAAACCGATGTCGTTCTAGGTGTTGTGCAATGCAAATAGAATAAACTAGACACTCTGCTGAGACTATCGGCTATGACCAATGTCGACAACAGGTATTTTCGAACTGTTGGTTAAGTTTTCTAAGGTAGTAATGACGTAACTGACAATAAATTTTGAGATCGTAAAGACCTGATATAGCAGCCATCCATACACATGGCTCAGGCAGAAATGATGGAGCCCGAAAAAATCGTGTTCATTCGTATACTCGTTTCCTCTTTAGAAGTGTAGGCAGAATGGAGATGAAACCAATAAAGAACAGCACAGACAAAGTTTTGAAATCATATAAATCCTTGACTGATTTCAGATCTCCGAGTGCAAGTCCAGCCTGATGATAATAAGATAATGAATTAACAGTTAGCTAATTATCTTCAAGATGAAAAAAATACCACAGTAAATGTAAGATCTTGAAAGAAGTTGATAAAAGAAAAAAGGCGACGTAAAATGTAACAAATGTCGGGGAAATTTCCACCAAATATGGTACTCGTAGAGGGAAGAAATAATTATAATATACGTACACGCATATAAACATACATAACAAAATAAACATTATTGTAATGGCCTAAGCCTACCGCTAACCGATACTGTTCTCTTTGAGCTTTCCCTTTTGGGCTTCCCCCCAAGGTTTTTAAAACGCGTCTGCTATGGTGAGGTTTCCACACCCTTATAAAGAATGTTTCATTCCCCTCACCAACCGATGTGGGATTTCAATATCCCCCCCCCTTCGAGCCACAGCGTCCTTGCTAGCACTTGTTCTCCTCTCCAATCGATGTGGGATCTCACAATCTACCCCCCTTCGAGGCCCAACGTCCTCACTGACACTTGTTCTCCTTTCCAATCGATGTCGTTCCCCTCTCCAATCGATGTGGGATCTCACAATCCACCCCCTTTCGGGACCCAGTGTCCTCGTTAGCACTCGTTCCCCTCTCTAATCGATGTGCAATCTCACAATCCACCCCCTTTCGGGCCCAGCGTTCTCATTGGTACTCGTTCCCCTCTCCAATCAATGTGCGATCTCACAATCCACCCCCCTTTCGGGGCCCAGCGTCCACGCTGACACTCATTTCCCTCTCCAATCGATGTGGGATCTCACAATCCACCCCCCCCTTCGAGACCCAGCATTCTCGTTTGCACTCGTTTCCCTCTCCAATCGATGTGGGATCTCACAATTCATCCCCCCTTTGAGACCCAACGTCCTCGTTGGCACTCGTTCCCCTGTTCAATCGATGTGAGATCTCACAATGCACCCCCCTTCAGACCCAGCGTCCTCGCTGGCACTCATTCCTCTCTCCAATCCATGTGGGATCTCACAGTTATCTTTTGATTTCCTATGGAAATTATATCAACCATCACATATAGACAAATCCAAGATAATCCAAGGTGTGACAGGAGTCATGCCTCTCAATTACCAAATCATATAAAGGATAAGATCAACCAAAACATCAGACACAACACAACCGCCATTTATCCACTGCATTCACTAAACTAAATTTCAACTATTCATTTATCTCAAGTGTTAAAGAAAACTCAAATTTCAGGCATTCTCCAACATTATTTACAAGGAAAGCAATATAAAAAAGATACATTACATAACGGAAAACAAATCCCAATATGAACAAGACATTTAAATCTACAATGATAGAAACTTACCCGGACAGTGATATAGGATGCTGGAACAAGGCCAATTAAAGTAGCCAAGAAGAACACATGAAATGGGATGTCAACAATAGGTGAAGCCAAGTTGATAAAAAGGTTCGGTAACGTTGGTGTTATCCTTAGAAAGAGCATATAATTGAGTAGCTTTTCTCGATGCTTCGCTATCTGGATAATCAAAGCCAAGATTTCAAACCAACATGAGATTAGATGTGATTAGAGAGTCGTCACAGAATCGAATTTAAACAAAATTCAGAGTAAATAAGTACCTCTGCCTGGAACAATTTCAACTTTTCGGGCCACACCCAGTAAACTAAAGGTCTTCCAACCAACTTGGAGAGAAAAAAACAAGAGGATGCACCAGCTGTTGCATTAAAGACAACTAAAAGAAGGCCTCTGATAACACCAAATAGAGCTCCAGCCAGCAATGACATGAAAATTGTTCCAGGAATCATGAACGTTTGCATGAATATGTAGGTGGAGCAATAACCTAGAATGAATTGTGCTGGATGATCTTTGGCATAATTTGCAAAGAGATCCCTGGAGCATGATTAAACATGGAGCATTAAATGTTATAATGTTCAGGAACTAACTCGAAATGCCGACAGATAACAATAATTTGCAGGAACATTTTGTTAAACTACTAAACTCAATAAGCATTTTTTCAACATTAATCGGGAGGTAAACAACATTAGGTGATTCAAGTTTTGGACCTCTATGTAACCGCCGAAGCCCACCGTTAGCAGATATTGTCCTCTATGAGCTTTCCCTTTTGGGCTTCCCCTCAAGGTTTTTTAAATGCGTCTGCTAGGAAAAGATTTCTACACCATTGTAAGGAATGTTTTGTTCCCCTCCAACCAATGTGGGATCTAACAATCCACCCTCTTGGGGGGCCCAGGGTCCTTGTTGGCATAACGCCGGGTAACCTGGCTCTAATACCATTTGTAACAACTCAAGCCCACTGCTATTAGACATTGTCCTCTTTCGGTTTTCCCTCAATGTTTTTAAAACGCGTCTGCTAGGGGAAGGTTTCCACATCCTTATAAGAATGCTTCGTTCCCCTCTCCAACTGATGTGGTATCTCATAATCCACCCCCCTTGGGGGGCCAGCATCCTTGTTGGCACAACGCCCGGTAATCTGGCTCTGATACCATTGGTAACAGCTCAAGCCCACTGCTAGTAGACATTGTCCTCTTTTGGTTTTCCCTTTCGGGTTTTCCCTCAAGGTTTTTAAAACGCGTCTACTAGGGGAAGGTTTCCACATTCTTATAAGAATGCTTCATTCCCCTCTCTAACCGATGTGGGATCTTACAATCCACCCCCCTTGGGAGACCAATGTCCTTGTTGGCACGCCGCCCGGTAACCTGACTCTGATACCATTTGTAATAGCCCAAGTCCATTGTTAGCAAACATTGTCCTCTTTTTCCTTTCCCTTTCGAGCTTTCTCTCAAGGTTTTTAAAACGCGTGTATTAGGGAGAGGTTTTCACACCCTTATAATGAATGTTTTGTTCACCCTCTCCAACCGATGTGGGATTTCACAATCCACTCCCTTAGGGGCCAAACGTCCTCATTGGCACACCGTCCGATAACCTAACTCTGATGCCATTTGCAACAGCCCAAACCCACCGCTAGCAAACATTGTCCTCTTTTGGCTTTCCCTTTCGGGTTTCTCCTCAAGCTTTTTAAAACGCATCAACTAGGGAGAGGTTTCCACACCCTTTCGTTCTCATCTCCAACCATGTGGGGTCTCACACCCTAACTCTGATACCAAGTTAAACTAGCCCAAAACCAAAAGTTGATAGGTTCGGTTATATTCAATCCTTTAACCTCATTTTCACACATTCAACCCATAATATGCACCGATGAAAAGCAATCTCAAACTAATTCTTCAATTCCAAGAGTTCTTCATTCTTCAATCCAAGATATGAAACCCCATGAAGTGTTCCTCAACCATTCTAAGTAAGCAAGAAACTATCCTCATCATTCAGAACTCCAAACATAATTCCATACCCCCTCTCATGTTCCAAAGACAATCAAAAACTTGAACTAAAAAACAACCCTCAATCTACGTTTCCTCTTCCAAGTTCACAACAAATCAACAATCATTTCAAAAATACAATATAGCACAAGAAGAAGGGAGGCAATGAAATATCGTAACATGTTCTAAAACGATAAGGGCTGAACAGAGAAACACATACTTAAGCATCCGAAGATCCGAAAGCGTTCGTGGGATCTTAACGCTCTGGTATTCTGCAGAGGGCATCGTCATATACACACAAACGAGGCCAGTGGAGCAGACAAGGAAGATGCCCAAAGCCGCCGCTATCTCCCACTTCGACAATGGAAACCTCTCAAATTTAACCTTCTTAGCCGTCGAGTTCTCTTCCTTCAGCTTCTCCTCATCTTTCAGCCCAACCACATTCCTCGAAGCTGCCATTAATCGATCGAACCACAGATTTCCCACAAAATTTCACAGGATGAGAAGGAGAATTCAAAAGAACACTGTTACGTCGTTTTTCGATTACCAATCATTGAATTTCACCCAATGACACAAATGATCAACGCAGATCTGAGCATTGGTGTCTTGTACGAAATTTGAGACAATCGCTCCTGAATAACGGGAGAAATCAGAGAATCTAAAGAACACAGAAACAGGGAATTTGTGAGAACGTTACGGCAAATTGATGAAGAAGGGTTTCAGTGGCGGAGGAGCTCTATAAATAGATCATCAATGGCTATTATTCACCGTCTGATCTCGAAGAGTAATGGCGGAAGACGGTGAACTCATCGGAATTTTGACGCTCCTCCCTCTCTCTGTTCTTCAGGGCATCTTCCTCTTCCACCCCTTTTTTTTTTATTTGGGTGTTCTTCTTTTTCCTCCAAACAAGGAATTCAATTTATTTATTATGATTTTTTAGCAAATTAAGCGGCATGTTTCCAAATTTCTAGGACACTAAAATATATATTTTTTTTTGGAACATGAACGAATGGGTTGGGTTGAGTTGGGTTGGGTTATACGATTGGGTTAAACGATATTTTTTATTGATCCAAAAGTTCGAGTTTATTGAATTGGTAACTCAATCCAACCCTCTATTTCCCTCGTTCGAGTTGGTTTTTTGGCAACTAACTCTCTATTTTCAAGTTGGGTTGTCAAAAAAAAAGATTTAGTTATTTTCGGGTTGGGTTTTACCCTCTATTTTCGGGTTTCGAGTTGGGTTGTCAAAAAAAATTTAAAAATTTGTATTTATCCACTTTTTATAATTGTTCGTATACCATCTTAAATATCTTAGATAAAATATATTAAAAGTTTACAAACTCTACAAGAAATATGTATTTTCCTGATCTGAGTGTCCTTAGACCAGCGAAGAACCAGGCAAACCCATGAATACGGATAGATTCTTAATATATTTACATATTTTTATTTGGCTCGGGTCAATCCGAAAGTTTTGTCCCACAAAATCGAAACCGAACCTTCAATTCGAGTTCAAAAAAATAAACTCAACCCTACCCGAAATGCTAATCCAACCCAACCCAACCCAACCCTTATAATTCAGGTTGGGTTGGGTTGGTCTAGGTTGTCGAGTTGCCGGGTTAAACGTACACCCCTACTTCACCTATTTATAATATTTTATTAATTTTTTTAGGGGAATAAAATATAAAAGTGATATATATAGCTTTACACCTTGAAATTTTTTTTAATATCTATTTTGATTGGTTGATATTAGTTTAGGTAGATTTATGTGTTTATTTCTAATTTGAAAATTTCGATTTTCAATTTAGTAAATAGAATAAATTTTGGGATTCTTCCCAAATTATCAAACTAGGTTTAAAGTTGGGGGGAAAACGAATGACTCTCGATTGACGTTTTTGAGCCATTGTTGCAACCATAAGGGACCTGGTTGACCGTGATAAGTGACCTTCACAGTGGTATAGTATTGTTAATTTTGAGTCTATGTTCTCGTGGTTTTGCTTTTTGTTTTCTCAAAATACTTCGAACCAATAGAAATAGTGTCACTTACTGATATACTCGTGTTCTTCTCTTTAATTAAACAATGTGAGACTCCAATAATCCATGATCAAAAGCATCCCCTTAAATAGTTATCTATCTGTCTAGCACTATCTAGATGACTTCTCTTCTCTGAAGCATATTACTAGTCCAATAAAGCTTTACCACTGATCTTCACTATGGCTACACCTTTGAGGCTCATAACTTCTTTGTTCGACATGTGAGGATTCTATTGACACGGTTAAATTAAAATAAGGACATGACTTCGATACGAATGATAGGGACAAGTGACCTCTACGATGGTATGATACACAACTTCTTTGTTCGACACATGAGGATTCTATTGACATGGTTAAATTAAGATAAGGGCATGACTCCAAAACAAATGATAGGGACGAGTGACCTCCACGATGATATGGTACACAAATTCTTTGTTTGACATGTGAGGATTCTATTGACATGGTTAAATTAAGATATAAGGGCATGACTCCGAAACAAATGATAGGGACAAGTGACCTATACGATGGTATGGTACACAACTTCTTTGTTCTACATGTGGGGATTCTATTGATATGGTTAATTAAGATAAGAGCATGACTCCGAAACAAATGATGGGGACGAGTGACCTCCATGATGGTATGGTACACAACTTCTTTGTTCGACACGTGAGCATTCTATTGATACGTTTAAATTAAGAAAAGGGCATGACTTCAATATAAATGATAGGGACAAGTGACCTCTACGATGGTATGGCACACAACTTCTTTATTCGACACGTGAGGATTCTATTGACATGGTTAAATTAAGATAAAGGGCATGACTCCGAAACAAAATGATAGAGACAAGTGACCTCTACGATGGTATGATACACAACTTCTTTGTTCGACACGTGGGGATTCTATTGATATGGTTAAATTAAGATAAGGGCATGACTCCGAAACAAATGATAGGGACGAGTGACCTCCATGATGGTATGGTACATAACTTATTTGTTCGACACGTGAGCATTCTATTGATACGGTTAAATTAAGAAAAGGTCATGACTTCAATACAAATGATAGGGACAAGTGACTTCCACGATGGTATGTTTGCCCACTTTTTGTATAAGCTCTCATGGTATGATATTGTCCACGATTGTATGATATCAATAGCGATAGTATCCCTTATAGTTATGAAAATGTTTATGAAAGAATGAATATACAACACGCATTGCATGTTTATATCATGATTTAAAGCTATGAGGACCTCGTGCATTTTTTGTATGTCATGTGCATCAGAATACTTGTTATAATAAGTACGAATGTGTACAATACGGTACCTATGTACGCCATGATATTATGCAGCCTCCTTTCCCTCTATGACTCCAACAACGTGAGCCTGCACTAGTTGAAGGACAGGCTCAAGGGGTACGTATACGCTCTCTTGGTGGGTCCATGTGCGCGTATGTTGCCCGTGTATATAGAAGTATTACACATCCAAATTTAGCTCGAACTAGAAAGCAGAATTCAAGGCCATAAAATATTTTCATGAAATGATAGGTTCCTCCATGATTGGTTGTATATGCATTTCTCGACCCCAATAGTGAGGTTACTTACGGAGTATTTCTTTAAATACTCAAGTTACATGCTACTCTTATTTTGTAGATAAAGGTAAGACACCTCCTCTATACGGATGACAATATCATAGTCACAACCATGGACTAGAAGTAGAGTATATGCATTCATGTCATTTTCTTTTGTAGATCATGGTAAAGATTTTACTTTCTTAGTTTTATTTACTTTCGTGTTTATTTATTTTATTATAATATTGTCTTAATGACTTTAGTATGAACGTGTTAGTGCATGGCCTCATTATGAAATGTTTTAAATGAATTTCTCGCACAGTGTAGATACGTCATGTATGTAGTGGCAACTTTGATTTTAATAGGAAATTTGGGTCGTTACAAAGAAAGTCCAAGGAATTAGAGCAGAGAATCATAAAGTTGAAAGTCCGTATTTTAAGCCACCTTGGCACCCTAGGAACCTAGAAGACCTTTTGGCACCTACAAATGACTAAGGTAGCTCTCCATGTCTTAATAGCGTTATGGGCGGCTTGGCTTTTCTAATGGAGTCCAACTCCCCACTTTCTAAGGTGCACTTTCCTTTTCATTGTCTTGAGCTGTCCGAACTCAAAATTTTAGCATGGTTGACTTGAAGTATTTTCATGTGGGTAATCTCGTAGGAAAGATGTAAGTGAGAACAAAGTAGGTTAAAATGACTCATATTAGTTTATGAAGATAGTCTTCACTCTTAAAGTGTTCAAGTTACAAGCAACGGGCAACGTATGCGCGCATGGACCCACCAAGCAAGCGTATACGTACCTTTTGGGCCTATCCTTCAACTAGCGCACACTCCTCTTAGACTATCTTCAGTGACAAAGTAGGTTAAAATGACTCGTGTTAGTTTATGAAGATAGTCTTCACACTTAGAGTGTTTAAGTTACAAGCAACGGGCAACGTACGGGCGCATGGACCCACAAAGCAAGCGTATACAGACCCCTTGAGCCTATCCTTCAGCTAGCGCATGCCCACTCTTAGACTATCTTCTGTAACAAAGTAGGTTAAAATGACTCGTGTTAGTTTATAAAGATAGTCTTCACTCTTAGAGTGTTCAAGTAACAAGCAACAAGCAACATGCGTGCGCATGGACCCACCAAGTGAGCGTATACGTACCCCTTGGGCCTTTCCTTCAACTAGCACACACTCACTCTTAGACTATCTTCTGTGACAAAGTAGGTTAAAATGACTCATGTTAGTTTATGAAGATAGTTTTCCCTCTTAAAGTGCTTAAGTTACAAGCAATAGGCAACGTACGCGCACATGGTCCCACCAAGCGAGCATATACGTACCCCTTAAGCCTATCCTTCAGCTAGCGCACGCTCACTCTTAGACTATCTTCTGTGATAAAGTAGGTTAAAATGGCTCGTGTTAATTTATGAAGATAGTCTTCACTCTTAGAGTGTTTAAGTCACAAGCAACGGGCAACGTACGCGCGCATGGACCCACCACGCGAGTGTATACATATCCCTTGGGCCTATCCTTTAGCTAGCGCACGCTCACTCTTAGACTATCTTCTGTAACAAAGTAGGTTAAAATGAGTCGTGTTCATTTATGAAGATAGTCTTCACTCTTAGAGTGTTCAAGTTACGTGCAACGGGCAATGTATGCTCACATGGACCCACCAAGCGAGCATATACGTACCCCCTTGGGCCTATCCTTCAGCTAGCGCACATTCACTCTTAGACTATCTTCTGTAACAAAGTAGGTTAAAATGACCTGTGTTAGTTTATGAAGATAGTCTTCACTCTTAGAGTGTTCAAGTTACAAGCAACAGGCAACATACTCGCGCATGAATCCACCAAGCGAGCATATACGTACCCCTTGGGCCTATCCTTCAGCTAGCGCACACTCACTTTTAGACTATCTTCGAGTGACAAAGTAGGTTAAAATGACTCGTATTAGTTTATGAAGATAGTCTTCACTCTTAGAGTGTTCAAGTTACAAGAAACGGGCAACGTACGCGCGCATGAACCCATCAAGCGAGCTTATAGTACCCCCTGACCTATCCTTCAGCTAGCACACACTCACTCTTGGACTATCTTTTGTAACAAAGTAGGTTAAAATGACTCGTGTTAGTTTATGAAGACATTTTTCAGTCACGACCTGAATTTCGAGGCTTTGAAATTCGAAATGTGACTCAAAAGACTAAATCGAAAACAAACAAAGAGAAAGAGAAAAGAGGAGTAAAAGATAAAAACTAAATTCAATAAAATCAAAATAGAAGAACAAGAGGGAAAATTTCAAATGTTTAAAAAGAGGATTCAAATTTACAAAATAAGAGAAAATACAAATATAAAGAAATTTTTACAAAAGACTCCAAAAGACCGAAAAGGGACGGACACTCCGGAACAACCCCCTCTGTGACTGTACAGCTCTAGAACACTCCTCTACCTCGACCAGCAGCCAGCGAACACCTGAAAAAAAAAAAAAAAAAAGGGAAGAATGGGATGAGTATAAAAATTATACTCAGTAAGCCACCTACTTGTAAGCCCTAATCGCATCCTAACTTAACAAAATTCTCACGGTCTTCTAATTGGCTTTAGGACATCTGGTTCTGGTCTTAGTCCTTTCGGGGCTCACCCCTTGGGACTTGCTCTTTGGAGCTTCACAGGTTCTCCATCCTTTCATTTGATACCTAAGGGTTCCTTACGCTAAGCTGACATGACCGACGCTCTCTATGAGGTGCTACCTCTGCATGCTATCTGAGACTACATGGTATCTAGCCTAGGGGTGTGCTGAGTACCTCCTAAACCCATGATAGTCCCCTAGGGGGGGCGCGACCCAACCAATTCCCGTGCAGCTAACAGGGACACATTTCCCATGTGAAACGGCTAGGAGCAGTAAGAACTGATCAGGAACCTCTGGTTCCCCCCATGAAGATATAGAGGTCGTTCAGACAACTAGCAGTCTAAGAACACTCAAGGTACTTCTTCGCCATGGAAATTGTTAGGTTCCTAGGGGGAAGGTTGTACCTAACTGAGTGACTTGTCGCTCTTAACTACAAATCCCTAGGCTTATCATAGTAATGAGTCATGGAAAATAACAGAGTGTGCATGCAGACGTCGACTAACATCATTATACATAACTTATGCCAACTAAACACGCATGCGTCATGGGATGATGGCCTCCGTCAAGCACTCGGAACGCGTAGTCCGCGCTCAGGGGGTGACATCATCCCTCGAGCGCCCGGAACGCAAAAGTCACAATTCAGACATGAATTACACATATGCATACGTATAGTGGAAGCTTAAAGCATGCAAGCAACACCCAGATAATTCACCCAATACGCTCATAACAATCGATCTATTGAGTCTCATTCATGGAAAGCTAAACTAAGGCAATTGTACTAGCATGGATGCAATCCATCCCTAGGCTTATCATTAGTAATGGGTTATGGAAAATAACAGTGTGCATGTAACCGCCGTCTAACATTATCACACATAGTTTATGCAAATTAGACATGCAAACTCAACGGGGAGATAGCCTCCATCAGGCACCTGGTAAGCGGAGTTTGCGTTCAACGGGGCGATGTCATCCCTCAAGTGCCCGAAACGCGGAGTTCACCTATTCAACATGAACTAAACATGTGTATCCGTATAGCAGAAGCTTAAAGTATACAAGCAACACTTAGATAATTCACAATTTACCCATTTTCCTTTCAGCATGCATAAGCAATTACCACACTAAGCGGAAGCATAAAGCATGTTTAACTTATCGTGGAAGCATAGGTAACTGGTCATACAACATGTGCTTTGCAACTTAAACTCACAACATAGAAAAGTCTAATCACATAAGGAAACTAATCTAGCATGCATGCATACCAAGGTGATTCCTACAAGTATTTCTTCCTAGGTTCCCTGTGGTGACTTACATGGTTGACGTGTGCCCCTTTGCTAGCGTTTTCATGACCTTAAGGAGTCCAAAATACTGATTTTTCCCAATTCAGTCCCTATTCGCGTAAAAACAAAAATCGGGCAAACAGAAGTTGGACAGACGGAAGATAGAAACTCACGCGTTCCCACGTGCCGCCACGTGTCCTCATGCCCAGCCAACGTCTAGTCACGGGTGTCACGTGCGGGTCAGATTCTGCAGTCGCGGTTCACTGGGCCAGTTTGACACATGACTTGCCAGAAAGTTCTCTCTCCCCCGTTCTTGGAAATCGGCTCGGATCTTCACCTTCGAACCAGAATTCCGGCTAGTTTCCTTCATGAATTTTGTGGAGAATTAACATATCAAAATTTCAGACCTTGATTCACAACGGAGAGTTCTAGATTTGAGAAAAATGATCAAGATCTTACCTTGCTGATTTTCTCGATCTCTTGACGGAAAACGGGACTCTGAAGGCCAACATCTTCTTCTTCTTTCCAAGAAGAAGTCCTTGTCATTAGATCGTGGCTAGCGGTGACTTCCGGTGGTGGTCCGATGAGATTTCCGGCGGCGGTTTTCTTGCTTACTCTCAAACTTTCTCTTTGTTTTTTTCTTTCTTTGCCGCTAGGGGCTAGGGTTTAAGGACCTCTTTTATGGTCGGAGGGGCAAACTTACCTATTTGTTCTTTTGTTAATTTTTAACCCAATTATTTTTTTACTTTTATATTTCTTTTTTTTTCTTTAAATATTCGGGTGTAGAGTGTTCAAGTTACCATCAAAAGGCAATGTACACGCACATGAACCCACCAAGCGAGCGTATACGTACCCCTTGGACTTATCCTTCAGCTAGCACACGCTCACTCTTAGACTATCTTCTATGAAAAATTAGGTTAAAATGACTCGTGTTAGTTTATAGTTAACAAAAAAATAACTAAAATCGAAGCTAGTTGACCGATAACAACCATGTAAAAAGAGGGATACACGACTAAACACAAATAAACTTCTTATTTTTAAGAAAACCAACTTGATTGGATCACTACATGCAAATGAAAATTAATTTATCTACATGACAGTGATACATTTACAATTCAAAACAACTTTCTCATAAACCCTAATCAATCACATATCTGTTTCAATAAAGAAAGACCATTCACTTTGTATCTGATCTCTCTCTTTATACTTACAAAAAAAAAACACTCTAAAATCAGTTTTTTAAATATCTTCCAGCCTTTTTAGTGTTCATATATCATTACAAAAGTCAACAAAAGTTTCGGGTAAATTAGGGTAAGAAGAACACGATGTTTCCACAATTTGCGACGAACAGAGTATGTCGTCCAAATTAACGTTCCATTCGAGGCACGGGTCGTTGTGATTGTTATTGTTATTTCTCTTTGTCTCGTTAGTCTCAAAGTTCGTTGAGAGCGTCGGGCTCTCGAGACTCGGTAATTGGACGAGTTGGTAATTTTGTTGTTGTTGTTGTAGTTGAAGATGATAATTTTGGAGTTGGTCTGACGAGTTGACCATGTGGGTTGGGGTCATGGCATCTGAAAATGTACTATTGTTGTTGTTTTTGAGATCATAATATAAGCCATGATGTTGATAGCTATTCCAAGCTCCAATGGCTTGGTTTTGATTAGGGCTTGGCTTTTTGAAGGCTCTACAAACCACCCAACCTTCTTCCTGCATGTATCGAACAAAAATCTCGAGTTATATACATGTTTTAAAGAGATAACAATCGTGTCGTTAACGTTGAAAATCTCGTTGAATCGACCAGGTTTTTCGAAAGATTCACAAATTGTAGAAACTTGCCTGAACAGGAGCAAGTTCGGAGGTTTGGTGACGATATTCATGCATAATCCAATCAGTTTTTCTACCATTTGGAGCTCGACCTTTATAAAACACCAATGTCTTTCTCATCCCAATCACTCTATTCTTTGACAAAACTGCCTTATCCCTCCCTGTGGCTTTCCAAAATCCCGCACTTGTAGCTCGGTTCGTTCGAGTTCCCGTCGGGTATTTTCGGTCTTTATGACTAAAGAAATACCACTCCTTCTGCTCTTCGTATCCAAATTTACAATTAGCTGCACGATTATAAACGTAAAAGTGAGTTTGACGTGACTTCTGAAAAAAGGGTTATCAATCTTCTAAGTCAAACGTATTTTTAAGGGTAGGTGACAAATGTAAAAGTCCAAGCCCACCGCTAACAGATATTGTCCTCTTTAGGCTTTCCTTCCCGGCTTCCCCCAAAGTTTTTAAAACATGTTTGGTAGAGAGAGGTTTTCACACTCTTGTAAAGAATGTTTTGTTCTCCTCCCCAACTTATGTGAGATTTCACAAAAAAACATATCAGAAAATTGCAAAGAAACAAGCGTAATTTCGAAAAAACATAAAACCCAAAACAAAATAGCTATCAAACACCGTCTCGAACGGATTACCCACAAAGTGGATTCGATAAAGTAGTATGAAAACAAACCAAAAAAACTCAAAAGCTTTCAAATGGATCAAAGTGAAAAAGTGGAGGCTAGTGTTCATAGGGGTAATGAGAAAGTCCAAGTAGGGGAAATGGATTATGTTTAGAAAATGAATCAAAACATGGATTTG